TATCCCTCTCATTGTGATAAAGGTAACGATTTCGTACATGACCAAGTTTTATAGTGTGATAGGAGGTGGTGTGTACAAGGCCCGAAAATGAATAAGTTGTCGTATGTTTGATCAGGCGCACTTGTTTATGTTATTGACTTATAGAAATTCTCCATTTTTTATGGAGGTTTAAATCTATCCTTTGCATTTGAGCGTACTAGCTTTTTTACTAAATACCAGTGGCGGAGCCACCTTACTATTAGGGGGTTCATCCGAACCCCCTTCGACGGAAAATTATATAATATATACATGGTTAAAATAACTTTTTTGGTATATATAGTAGATGTCGAACCCTCTCCGGCTACTTCATGTGTCTATTTTTTCAGATTTTGAACTCTCTTATTGAAAACCCTGGTTCCGCCACTGCTAAATACTAGTACTAATGAATGAATGAGTCTAGTGATATTAAATCAATGAATTTAACTTTAGAAGTTACAAATAATAAAAATACACATCGCTTAATCATGGTTAGATGATTGAATATGCATATACACTACGAATTTTATATTGATTGATTTGATACTAATTAATAATACACTATTCAAATAAGTTTTTATCTTGGACCCTCACATAATAACTGAATTTTTCAAAAATCCTACTAACTCCAAAAGACAAATGGGATAATATCACATGATTGAACTTGTCTAACTCCATACCACCAAACTTTACCAAACACGAAAATCCCATCACCACCTACCAAATCCCAAGACTATTGATGCGTTTCTTTCAACATATTAAAATTTCACCATGCAACAAATTGTTAATTTCAACAAGATTTTATCATTCAATTAAGAAAGATCACTAAAACTAACTAATATTTCATTAAGTATTGAAAGAGTGAAGTTCAAGGATCGCGATAAATGTGAAAGAATGACACATTTGTGATAGATATTTTGTAAGTGATATGATGTCTTATTTTATATTACACTAGTATTATGTAGATGGAAAAAAAATTTATTGGCTATGGTGATCTCAAATTATTTATTCATATATGAAAATTTATGATTTCAAGTTATTTATACGCGGTGGCTAAATATGTAAATCATATTATGAAAAGCTGAGATTAAATCGGACCAAAAAAATGTTCTCTTTGTCCATTTTATTTGGTACCCTTTTCTTTTTAGTTCGTCCCGAAAAGACCTTACTATAATTATAAACAATTCAACTTTAAAATTCCTCAATCACACAAATATTTAAAAATTGTTTTAGACTACAAAATTCAAAAGTCATTCTTTTTTTTAAAATGTTGTATCAAATCAAAATGTGTCACATCAAATGGGACAAACTAATTAAATTATGTTTATTCTTTATTACGGATCGAAATCAATAGAATAGAGAACTACTCTATAAAAATAGAAAAAATGAATTTCATAAATAGAATCTATATTAGTAATTATCTTCTTCCCACCCTAACTCATAGCCCTCACGCCATTACCATTAACCACACCCTTAATTTAAAGTTTTTTAATTTTGATTTTAACAAATAACCGAATCGCGACCGGCCTTAGATATGAGCAAAGAATAATAACAAAGAAACATAGTCATTAATAATTAATAAAGTTGTTATGATTGTTTAAGCAGTAGGGATGTGAAGGCCACTAAGTTGATTACTATATACCAAAATATCCCTTTCAAAAGTGGGCATCAAATCAAAACTCTTTCCAACTTTGCAGGCATATCACGCCTCATGCTTTGCCTATTTCTCATCATATATATAGACAATTGACTTACTGGTATTGAGTTATCAGATATACGGTTGGTGAATGAATTAATATTTTATAATTAATAATTTATTGATATAAAGACGAAACCATTAATCCGTTAAGAACCAAGATGTATAAACTAATGAAGAATATATAATACTAAAACAATTTATCAATGCATGATAACAACTTATGGATCATGTCTTAAAACATTTAAAGGACATCTATCAAGTGTGTTAAGAGCATCGTCTTACCCATGATTTCTCGTGATAACTTAATATTTTAAAGTGTTAAGTGTTTTTGCCTTTGTGAGGTAAGTGTTAAGCATATTTAACATTGTTTTTTGTGAGGCAATAACAAGTATTAAGATTTAAGGGGTCGTTTGGTGTAATGAATAAGGGAAGTTAATTTTGGGATAAATTTTAAGTAGCCTTATTTCCTTGTTTGGTTGGAAAGCTTGGGATAACTTATCCCATGATCATCAATTAGTACCGGGATAAGTTATCCCTCATATTGGGTGGTATAGTAATCCCGGGATAAAATAGGTAAATGACAAATATAACCCTTTAAATTCTTTTTATACATCATTTTTCACATTTATTTATATTTACATTTTTTTTTAATATCATGTATAATAATATTTACTACTTCTTATTTTTATGATAATCATTAATATTTTTCTATTAAAAATTTACACTATATAAATATAATTTTTATTTGACTAATTCTTATGTTTATTTTATTTTGATTTCTCATAAATTTTCTTCTCTTTAACAAACTAAAGAGGAAAATTCTATTTTTAAGCTAAATAAAAAAAAGTTATATTTTTAAATACACATGGTACTTATCATGGGAATACATAAACAAAAATATTTATGTTAAATAAAATAAAAGTTTTATTTTAAAAAATAAATAACTAAAGCTCGCAAAGAAAATTTAAAAAATTAAATAAAGTGAAGGGTAATTTTGTAAACAAACAACTTGTTCTTAAAATTTATCAATATATATTATTTTTGAATACAACAAACCAAACACTCAATAAGAAATAATCCCAGCACAACATATCCCATCATAACTAATCCCAACATAACATATCCCAACATAATTTATCACATCATAACTCATTTTCACCAAACGACCCCTAAGTGTATTTAGTATAGTATTTTCTGTATCACTGGCTCACCGACTTTTTTTATGGTGCATTCTTTAAAAAAAAGTACCATAGAGGTTAGCTGATACATTGTCTAATAACCGTCCGATAATTATTAATCCGTTATCAAATCAATCGATATCTTATTGATTGACTAGCAGATTAGTAGATTTAAAAATCGATAAACCAAATTGTTAAAGTGAAATTATATATCCGTCCAATCCGCCTAATAGCAACCCTAAAAATAAATATATTTTCAACTTCAATTTTATAAAAAACATATGAAACAAAATATTTAAATCATAGTCAAAACGCCTATAAAATATTGATCAGAAAAATTATTCACTAGGGGTCGTTTGGTTGGGAACAAGTTATCCAAGATTAGTTATCCTGGAGTTAGCTATCCTAGCATAACTTATCTCATCATGTATATGAGATAACTTATCTCATTACTATGATATAAATGGTGAGATAAGTTATCCCAAACATAACAACCAATAAGATACAAAAAATTTATCATACCAAAATAAATACTCCCCCCATTTAGTTGTTATATTGCGTTTTTTTAAGAGCTAATTTAGCTAATTTTCAAAATTAAATTACTTTAAAATAAAAAATTTTTAAATATTTAAAAATATATTAAAAATACTCAAATGGTACAAATTGTCAGAAAGAAAGAGTAGAAAATAATTATGAGAAAAATAACAAAATGGAATCCTAATGATTAAGTTTCAGTCAATTTCGTATTACTATATAAATATTTTAATTGTTTTTTCGGTCGGCCACTGGCTGTGAGTGTGAAACACCATGACTCCTCTGTCACCGTAGCCATCCCTCTTTATTACCGTTAATCATACTCCCTCCTAGGGACCCAAAAGAAAACACTATGATATATTATAATTTTTTCAATTTTTTATTTGATATTTGATATTTAATATTGAATTTTGATTAATTTAAATACGTGACAGATAGAACCTCATTCGAAGAAAACACTCTTATCAAAGTAAGTTAATTACTTCGTTGCATTAGAAATGCAATTTATTTATATTTGGTTGATCCAACAAGTTCCTTGTAAATAGGGACTTCTCTAATGAAAATAGAAAAAACAAGTTGCATGACCTTTCAAATTTATTATATTCTCCAACTCATCCACAGCCCTCACCCTTGATTATCCCACCCCGTCATTCCACAACCCCCACTCCTCATTTCTATCAACCTTCATAACATTTTGCTAGATATATAACATATTGTAAGTGTTTAGGGATAGTATTTTCTTGCTTATTTGTCAAACACTAGAAAATAATTGAGTCTCTCAATTATTTTTTAAGAATTCATTTTTCGTGGAAAACCCAAAGCGGAAAAGTGAAAATAAAAAAAATAAATTGAAAACATCCGTAGTTTCATCCTTGAAATATTGGCAACCTTAAAACATCTAATTTACTTGACTAAGTAACTTAAATACACCCCCGATCTTGTAACATGAGTGAGATACACCCCTAAATTCTCACCAAGTTTAGGGGTGTTTTCAACACTTCTCAAATTCTCGCTAAGTTTATTAGGGGTGTTTTCAACACTTTCTCTCAGTTTTTTATTAAGAGTCTCATACTTCTATAAGAATTTGAGAACACTTGCTTATGTCATGCATGTGGTGGATCGGTGCCTAACTCAACCAAAAAACTAGCTTATGAGGAGAGAATTGTCTAAATATGTATAAGGAGACCAACTTTCCATCATTTTTTTGATGTGAGACTTCTTAACACTCCCCCGGACTCCCAGACCTCATTAACTAGATCATGAACAATATAATATGGAGGCCCTACATCGGTAAACAAAAAATTGGAATGAGCCTAAACAATGTAAAGATTTATCTTGAACTTAACTCAATCCTAAAAGCTAAATCTAAATTTAGTTAGTTAAGTAGAAATGTGTTTTTAAGATTGTCAATAATTTGAGAAGGAAACTAATAATTTACGTCGAATTCAAAATGTTTTTCATACCTATATCAAAAAATAATAATTTACTCTAATTAGGGGGTGGGGGCATAAAAGGAAAAAATATGTAATGATGTAGAAAAGTCTCACCAAGCTCACTCCACCATTAACAGAGAAAGAAGCTTTCACACACATACCTTCCTTCTAAGACACCCATTCACACTCTTCACTTCCATCTTTCTCCTATCAAATCTCAAGCACAAGCCAAGAATTTCACCTTCTTTCTGTAAACTGTAAGATACCCTTTATCTATATGTCTTCTTAGAGATGCTAGAAATGGAAGGAACAGCAAAACCCCCACAAATTTCTGAAATGTTTCACAAATTCGCTCATGTTGTTAGAACCAAAACCTTCGAACTCTTCGCTGACGATGAGAACAACTCCATCGCCGACGACGAGAACACCGACACTGATGTTTTCACTCTTCTTGATTCAGCTGAAGAATTCATACCTGACCAAAAAGTTGTTGTAATCAAGCCTGATTTCTGTAAATTTCCTCATTTAGCAAATACCCATTTCAGTAAATCCCTGATTTCTTCACTCTTCGCTACAATTTCGTCGTTTGAAGCTTCGTATCTTCAGTTACAAACAGCTCATGTGCCCTTTGACGAAAAAGCCATTGAATCAGCGGATAAAGCTTTGGTGACTGTTCTTCAGAAATTGACTGAAATGAAGAGTTTGTATAAGGATTTCAGGAGAAACCCAAGTTGTAATATTGATGTTCTTATGGGGTCAGAGCTGGAATTTCAGGTTCAGGAGCATCAGAGCAAGCTCAGAGTTTTGGAGACTATGGTAAATCAATTACTGTCTTATATTGAGTCTAAAGATGAAGAAGTTTCAATTTTGAGGAAGAAATTGGATAAAATTCAAGATTCTAATTTGAGTTTGTCTAAAAAATTAGGGGTAGAAAATGAAAAGTCAAATAGTAGTACTACGGAAGTATTGTGTACAGTTCGTGTTTTTGAATCTATGCTACGCGATTCGATTAAGTCAGTGAATAAATTTTCTAAGTTATTGATGGAGTTAATGAAAAGGGCAAGTTGGGATTTGGATAAAGCAGCTAATTCTGTGTATTCTGATGTTAATTATGCAGAAAAAGAACACCATAAATATGCATTTCTGTCATATATTTGTTTAGGTATGTTTAAGGGGTTTGATCTGGAAGACTTTGGTTTGTGTGATAAAGAAATGTTGTCTGATGGATTAATATCTGATGAGAATGATTATTTGAAACAATTACTTGAGCATGTTTCATGTAATCCAATGGAGACTTTGAGTAAGAATCCTAGTTGTGCATTTTCAAGATATTGTGATAAGAAGTATGAGCAGATAATTCATCCTACAATAGAATCATCGATTTTCAGGGATTTGGATGGGAAAGAAGTCATAGTGGATTCATGGAAGTCGTTAAGTGTGTTTTATGAGTTGTTTGTAAGGATGGCTAGTACAATATGGCTGCTTCATAAGTTGGCATACTCATTTAATCCTGTAGTTGAGATATTCCAAGTTGAGAGAGGGGTGGACTTCTCGATGGTCTACACGGAAGATGTTACAAGGAAAATTCAATTCCCTTTGAGCAAGACAAGGCCAAAGGTGGGATTTACTGTGGTGCCTGGGTTTAAAATTGGGAGTACAATCATTCAGACACAGGTTTATCTAACTGGCTTAAAAGGCATGGAATAGGGTAAAACAAAGAGATCAGTACAGTCGTCTGCAAGTCACTTTGCTTTATCGTGTGCTTTGTTTCCTCTGACTTACACCAAGAGATTTAGAGTGCTCCATTTGACAGCTAACCTTCTTTGGTACCAGAATTCAAGAATTCTTGTCAAAGTGCTATTGCCGAGGCATAAGCCATTTGATATTGTTGCAGAAGTTGGTGTTCTCGCGGGCCTGGATTGGTATGGATGTTTTTTGTTATTGTCGCTACTCGCTAGTAAGTGGTCACTAGTTAGTCTAATTTGTGTATTTGCTTGAATAGAAGTTCTGTTTCCAGGGGTTCTGTTAGTCCTATGCAATGTATGTAAAGCACTGCTTTTATGTTTTTTTTCTTGGTTGTTTTTCTTTTTATTTGGTTACTTTTAGTTAGGGAGGTGAGATGAGGTGGTGGGAGTAGTACAGGATATTACACAATCGAATTGTATGTAACTCTTTTAATGTCAAAATGGACAGTGATTTCAACAGTTCAATGAATTCTTTCATTAGTTAGCATAGTTCCTAGTTATAGAACTGTCTGTTTGCTTTAAATAAGTGTTCACTTGTTCTCTAGGCACGTCAATGGACTGTGACCTTGGTCATTGATAGTTTGTGGGCTTGATCAACTGTTTCTTGAATGCCTTATTTCTACATGTAGAATCACATAGATTGGAGATTCTTATCCTGTGTGATATATTTTTTTGGACTCATGAATTGCCTGTAGTTATTATCTTGATATTACCGCCTTTCTTGAAAGAAATATTGTGCTTGTTTCTCTACCTTTCCACATATCCATAAAGGATGATTAGCTATAATGCCATGATTTTACTTTCTCCATCTACAATTCATTTTTAATAGGCACGAACCATGAGTTAGTTATAAAAAAAAAGAGAGGCATAATCCATGGTTTACTTTGAATGCCAATCTTATTGTAAAGGAAGGAACATAAGCAGAACTAAAGCAATGATTTGTTGCTACTTTGAGTGAAGGAATTGCTTGACAGTTTAAGTATTTGCCTCTTTGCTTCTCTGATCATTCTCAATGCCATCAAAATTGCCCAATAGAATAGGATATTAACTCTCTGATTAGATTCATTACCAAGTGATGAATTGTGTGGATAATATCAGAGGAAAAACATGCATTATTTGTAATTATATGGTGTCCACTGTGAGTACTCACCTATAAGCTAAAGCTTACTTTTTAGGTCTGTGTCTCTGTGAGTAATTTATTCAGCTTTATCGAACTGGCTGGTAATGTATAGTAGTGTTGTGCTTTTGAGTGTCCTCCCATGGGTGCATTTTTATCATACATTTGTCAGCACATATATCTTTTTTAATAAGATTATGTGGGGCAATGGGATGCATGACACCCAGGCATACGTGAACATTTGTCTATGCACTTTTTAAGGGGGACGACTTTGGTTTTTGTATGATAAGGAAATATTCTGTAATTGCAATGTTAGTATCTGGTGAAAATGGTTGTCTACTATTTATTGAGCATGCTTTTGTAAACCTATGAAAGCTTTGAGTAGGAATCCTAGCTGTGTGATTTTTCAATTTCCAGTATGAGCAAGTAATTCATCCTCCAATAGGATCTTCAAGTTTCAGCAATTTGGATGAGAAAGAGACATACTGGATATAGTTATACTGGAGGCACTCAGCGTCTTTTATGAGTTTGTTTGTAAGGATGGCACTCAGCGTCTTTTATGAGTTTGTTTGTAAGGATGGCATGTGCAAATGGTTGCTTCATAAGTTGGCATATTCCTTTGACATATTCCATGTCGAGAGAGGCATTTTCAAATCATTACTTGTTCAATTGGCCGATGTTACACGGAAAAGTCAATTCCTTTTTGAGCAAGATGATGCCAAAGGTAGGAGTTAATATTATACATGTGTTTAAAATTGGGAAGGAGAATCATTCAGGCTCAGGTTTATATTACTAGCTTTGGATGCAGAGAGTTGTGTAAACAACGAGAGTATAGTGGTGTGCAAGTTCTTTGCTTCAAACTGCACAATTGAATGTGCTCCATTTGTCAACAAACTCCTTTTTGTGTACTATAATCCAAACAATTCATGTCAAAGTGATAGGTGCTGCTACTTCAAAGGGACATTCGTCAAAGATGCTATCCATTGCTGGCCAGGATTTGTAGGGATGCTTTTTCTTATTGCAGCAACTGGTTACTAGTTAGCCTAATTTGCGTATTTGCTTGCTTAGAATTGCTGTTTCCAGAGCTTCTGGTCAGTCCTATAAAATGTTTGTAAATCACTGATTTTGTTGGGTTTTGTTATTGTTTTTCTTATTAAAGTGATAGATGCTGCTACTGCTGAGAGCCTATCATCAATGATTGTATCTCTTTCTGGCCAGGATTTGTATGGGCGTTTTTTTGGTTGTGCTACCAATTTGTTACTACTTACTCTAAATTTGTACGAGACTAGTTAGTCTCAATGATTTGTATAAGCCGACCTCCACAAGGTAGGGGTAAGGTCTGCGTACACTCTATGCTCCCGAGATCCCACCCCACCGATGGGATTTCACTGTGTATGTTGTTGTTGTTGGTCTATTTTGTGTATTTGCTCACTCGGAACTTCTGTTTCCAGGGCTTCAGGTAAGTCCTATGAAATGGTATGTAAAACGCTTAATATGGAGGTTTCTTAATTGTTTTACTTTAGTTTGTTGGGGACGGGGTGAGCTGGGCTGGTGGCTGGTGGTTTCTTTATTGTTTTGGTGTCTTCCCAGTGAAGAGATAAAACTGAAGCTATTAGAGATTGCTGAGTTTGGATGTTGTTTCAGTATGCATTTTGCACTGGTCTTGAAGTTTAACTAGTTTTTGCTGAATATTATCTTCTCTGAGCCTATTTTGCTGCAGTTACAGTTCAGAATGTTCTGCTTTGGACTGTTTTTCTTGAGCGGAGGGTCTATCGGGAATAACCTCTCTACCTCTGAGGTTGGTTAAGGTCTGTAAACGATCTATCTTTTTCAGACCCCACTTTATAGGATTACACTAGGTGTACTGTTGTTGTACAGAGGAATTAGAAGAGGCATATGTATTCTTCATCTTTTGTATTATATGAAATTGAGCAACTTTTGCCTTTCGTTTGATTTTGATTTATCCATACCCTCGTTGGCAAATCGACTCATGATTTCCCTTGCCATTAACGGAGCTTCAACATGAAATGAGTTTTTTTTTTTTTCAATCGACAGGGTAATATTAGACCAAGAGTTAAATGGATTGGCAAGGTTGCTCAAAATTCAAATAGCGCAAGGGGAAATTTGACCTTTTCCGATGTGTATCGTACAATTGGTATTGCCAACAGATTGAATCACAAAGGACTTATTAAATCGAAATCCTCTCTAGTATGGTTTTTTTCATTCTTAGAGCTCAAACCCGAACAAAACAATCTTCTATCAATCATACCAACATCATGACAAACAATGGATTTGCGCAACCCTCCCTAACAAATGCGATTCCGTACCAAAGGGGATTCAAATTCGAGATTTCTTGGTTAAGGATGAAGGAATACTTATCACTCCACCACAAGAAAAACATGATTTCTTCGGAAATATTAAGATTTAAAAAATTATTTAATTGCATGATTTGCCCTTCAAATGACCAATAGAAAATAACATAAACCTCAAAATTTGAACTTATAAATGTGAATTATCATTTACCAATATTCTCTCGTTTCAGTTAAATTTAAAATTAGAATTTGACAAATATTTGATAGCAATAATGCTTATTTCAACAAACTATCAAAAATGTTCAAATAATACTTTAAAGAACATTTTAAACCTACTATATTGATTATTAAAGATAAAGGGTCATTTTTATCATTGTCTTCATTCAATAATAATAAATTTGATCATTTTCTCAATTCAAATTTATTTACTTCTTTTATGTCTAATATAATTAAAATTAAATTATGTACTCTTTTCTTAACAAAGTTCTCAAATTTAAGTAATTCCGAAAATTGTTCTAATGCTGATATCGGAATTTTTTTAATTTCACATACATATAACATTAATAACTAGAGTGAGGTTTTTGCAGTAAAGCCCTCATCCTACTCTGTGGAAATGGTTTCTTTATTACCCAATTTGTCTTCACCAATTTCTCGTCTAAGGCTGCTATGGAGACCCTCAATTCACCTCACATTCAAAGCGACAAGCAAATTGCAATTGAATTACAAAGCAGTAAAGCCTCAACTGTTCAAATCTTTTTCAGCTTATTGTTCTACTTCAGCTTCTAATGTTCAAACCCAGAATCAAATACTGGGAGAAAATGAGAATTTGGTTGTTTTAGGCATTGAAACGAGCTGTGATGATACTGCCGCCGCTGTGGTAACTTCTTTGCTAGTTTCTTTGAAATTACTTTTGTGGCGGAGCTAAGTTTGAACTCTATAGGTTTTTTAAATTTCAGGATATCGACATTAGCTATTAGTAACTTGGTTATAAATTTTAATTTTTGTTTTACATGTTTAGTGAATTTCTTAATACAAATACAGAAAGCTATTAGGTTCGTCCAAACTTGGCTTCTAGCTTCACCCCTGTTTGTGGGGCTGTGCAAAGTTTCTTCTTTATTGAGTTTAATGATATCCATTTGTAGGTTAATAGCAATGGTGAAATTCTCAGCCAAGTTATCTCTTCGCAGGTACTCTATATGTATTTAAGTAGTTATAGAAAGTCTGGAGAATTATCATTTAGTTTATATTATTATCTTGTTCTGTTAAATTAATGACTACTGATAAACTATTGGACACTTATTATCTTGTGTTCATTACATTGTTTTAGTTGAAGGCTTGCTTACTCATTTATTTTTGCATCATTATGTAAATAGTTGGGGTCTGTCTAGAATGACAAATGTCATGTTCCACATTGGTTGCTGGTATGCACGATTTCTATTCATTTTCCTATTTATACATATAAAGATGCAAGCATTGTTTACCCCTAAATCAATGACTTAGGATAACAATTGAATTTGTTTTAGTGGTTCAAGGGCACACACATTATAGTGACCAAACAGTATGGTTTTGGTGCTAAATTACTTGCTAATGAGTATAATTCAAGTAACAAGGAAAATTAGTAAACAGTGAAACGAGTAAAAGAGGAAGAATCTTGTTAAGCTGCTTTCCAGTGTAATCGTCTGGCAATGTCACCGGGAAAACAAAAGCTTGAGTTACAATTCGAAGTGCAATAGAGCTATTGTGATACTCATCAGATGGGTTACAAGTGAAGGGAAGGAGTATATTTATAACCTAGCCCTAGGTTACATCTTGAGTCTGTTCCACCCCTCATAAATGAACATTATGCAAATAGTAGAAGGAGGATATTTAATGGGGCTGTTTTGTTAATGAAAGCCCCTTAGAGGTTGATGTATTCCTATGCATGGCAGAGTAGTCAACATAATATGGGAAGTGATCCTCAGCATCGTTCTTTTATATTCTTATACTGCATAATTTGTTATCTGTTCACACCACTGTTCTTTCTTCATGCCAATTGC